TATATATATATATATATGCAAGACTCTACGCAGGTTTTCTTGTGTTTCCTCAAGCGCATAAAACGTGCATGTGTTAACTTTCGAACAACGGTAAGAGGGCGCTGTGTACTGTATACATAGTAAACACCTTGAATATAGAGAATATATATATTACATACAGTACCATTATTTATAAACGCACCTAAGGAAATATACACAAATGATGGGCTGGTAGGGCAGCAGCGCATACATGCATATACATAGTTGCATAGTTGCAAATACATGCATTTCATATAGATATATGCCGTCACTCAACCACATGCATGTGGGGCAACACCCAGAAAGCGAACTGCATGCGCCGTCTGCGGTGTACGTACACCTCAGCAATCTTGTTGTTGTTGCCTTGACGGGTGGTGTCTTCGGTCGTTTGTTTACATTTGTGTCCTTGTTTTTGCTGCTCTTCTCTTCTTGTCATACATGTGTCCAGCCCTCCTCCAGTGTATACAAGTATTGGTCTATTAAATATAATACCCGTTAAAGACAGCATTATCTCCTCTGCATGCATCTGCATGCCTGCATATCCTCACGTTGCATGCATGCTTGCACGACGCATGCAGCAAGAAGGCCGCCGATATAATACATATTATACACAAGATATATTATTCAATATATATAATATATATAATATTATTAAATATATTAAATATATAATATATATAAAATATAATATATAGAGTATATAGTATATATTATATAAAGCGCTTCCTCCTAGAAGCTGTCCATATACTTGTGACGAATACCGCTGAAGTGCCACAGCCCGTGCATCTTTTTGCCTTTTAAATTCATCATGCATGCATGAATGCATGCATACATGCATCCATTTAAATGCATGCGTGCACCCATACATACATACATGCATCCATCCATCCACTTGAATGCATGCATGGATGCATGCAGTTAAAACAAACCCGCAAGCAGCCCTACACAATCCATCACCGCCAGGTTTAAACGCAAACCAAACACAACTATTAGAGGTATTTTTCCTTCTTTTTATCCCTTAGTTTATTAAATATTTACGTTCATTTCTATCCATTTATAACTTCTTCTTCTAAGTATGCCGTCTTTCTGCTGCCCTGCCAAGAACGCACTGCATTTCTGGTGCTGTTGATGCTGCTGCTGCTACTGCTGCTGCATCGCGGGTCCAGGGCATCATTGACAGCCTTCTTATTGCTACTTACAACCCTCATGCTAAAATATTACAACCGCCTGTCGCTCTCGTCTGTGGGGCCTTCTGTTGTTGCTGAGGAATCGGATACTGTTGCTGCTGTTGCTGCTGCATCTGTTGTTGCATCTGCTGCTGCATCTGCGATCGGTGTTGCAGACTCATCATCAGAAGTGAGTTGTTGCTGCTGCATAATATCGTTGGCTACTTCTGCTACCGGTGCTTCTGCTGCTGCAGGAGCAGCAGCAGCAGCAGAAGCAGGTGGTTTCCTGTTAAGGGCTCGCAGTCTATGTGTATTCTTCTTGCGTGGTTTTCCCTCGCTCTGCTTGGGCTTCTCTGCTGTTTGCTGCTGCTCTGTTTGGGGCCCCAGTTGTTCGCTTTTATCTTTAAGGCTAAGGAAAGCAGCCGCAGGGGCCTCTCCTAGTTCAACACGATCTTCTGCCTCTGCATATTCCCTCTGGAAGGAAAGAGAAGTTGCTGCTAAACAACCTTGTGCTAGTGCATGCAAAGCCCCAATATGCACCTGTACACGAGCTAACAATCTTCTACCAAAGCCCCGTGCTGCTGCATGTGGGACAGAAGGAACAGCAAACCCTAAGTTTTGTGCTAAGGTCCTCAGGGCCCCCCCTGTCTCTGCATCATGTATAGTAAGAGCAGGGGGTGTTGGATATGAAGAAGGATACGCGGAGGAGGCGGAGTTTGCTGCTGCTGCTGCTGTTGATGCTGCTGTTGCAGATGCCGCAGCCGCGTTTGCTGCTGCTGTTGCAGCAGCAGCAGCAGCAGCAGCACCAGCAGGAGGCAAAGAGGGTTTAAATGCTGCAGGAGAAATACTTGTCTCATGAGGGGCAACGAAGGAAAGAAAACGCCATAAATGCCTGCATGCATCTAGCTGTAAAGCAAACAACTGCAGCAAACGAGGCAGCACATGACGTGCAAAGAAAGAAAGACCCCTCTTATTTTTTTTGAATCGGTCTTTAAAGACAAGATAACGAGACACCGTTGCTAAGTATCCTGTTACTAATGCTGCTGCCTCCGTACTTAAAGAATCTAATGCCCCTAATATAGATACAGGCAATATGTTATTTGCTGCTGCAGCACGGAAGGCACGAAGATGCTCCTTCATTGCACCATGAAGACGCAATAGATCCGCTGGAGCAGCACGAATGTTACGGTCAGGCTTCTGCTCCATGTAGTCCTGCAGCATCCTGCAGCAGCAACAGCAGAAGCAACAACAGCAGATATAGCCGTATACATATGATGATGCGTGCTGCTGCATACACTTCAGGTGTATATCAACTGTTGCTACGATGACTGTGCTGATTGCACCAGTAGCTGCAGCGAGAGCACCATTCTTATGCAATAAGGGCAGGAACAACAACAGAGCCATCACCAGAAGCAGCATCGTTCGAATGCAATGAACCCGGAAGCAGCAACAGCAGCAGTAGCAACAGCAGAAGCAGCAACTCCTACTTCTTAGTAGTGGGGTATTCATTGACGATCTTGAGTGCTCGATTATCTGCTTCTTCATCATCACAAGCCTCTCTCTCAGCAGCAAAACGAGCAATAGGCAGCTGAGCAGCAAGCAGCAATCTTGCTGCACTTCTTACACCTTGTGCATCATCACCAGGGAGGCCTAACATATCTCTTGCTACTCCTATTTGCTCATGAAGAGGTACCCACATACTCTCTCTTGCTTCATCAGATGCTAAGGAAGTAGACAGGGCACCAGCAGCACGACGGCCCATTTCATAGAGGGCCCCAAGGGCCCCTCCAGGGCCCCCACCCCCACCACCAGAATCACCTACACCCTCTACACCATCGCCGCTGCCACCAGATAATAACTGTGATACAAAAGGACCCACAGAGGAGAATATCTGAGATAACTGATCTGAAAGACCCGAGCCACCTGAGGGAAAGCCTGAGGAAGCACCATAGGAAGGATCCGCTACCTCGGAAGCCAATGCACACAGCACTACGCCGCCACCATTGCTGCTGCTGCTACTGCTGCTTGTGGTGGGGGTTGTGATAGGGATAGGGCTGGGGATACTGCCGCCCAAAAGGAGCAGCACAGCAGCTGCTGCTGCCGCTCCCGCTGCCGCTCCCCGCCTAGGGAGGCAGGCTGCGTCTCTCCCCATGACCTGGGTGGTCAGCTGCTCCAGGTGAAGCGGTAAAATAATAAATAAAGGAAATAAAAAGGAAAAAGACCGAATTTGACTGCCTTCGAGTGCAGAGCAGCAGAGAAACCGATGATGCAGCAAGAAAGGTAGGAAGGAGGGGAAGTACGACTGGACGGAGGCCAAAAGGGAGCAGAAAGCACGCAAAAAGAAGTACTTATTCAAAAGAATAACAGCGATACAGCGAGAAGGAAGGAAAAGATAACGAACAGTCAGAAGGTGCACAGAGCGCTCGGCGGCCGCAGGAAGACGGAGAGGAGCTGCTCCTGCTGCTGCTGCGCCTTGGGGCAGCAGCAAAAGAGAGGAAGCAGCTAGGGAAACACACGAAGATTAAAGAATATAAAAAGAGCTAAACAGTCTAAACAAACCCAAACACACAAACGCGAACCCAGCCAAGTCTAAGCCACGAAAGGCTCGGCGGCCGCCCCAGCCACTCAAGCAGCCGCAGCAGCGGAAGCAACAACAGCAGCAACAGAATCAACTCGGATTTCCCCACTCACTCCACATCTTCTGCTTCTGTATCCATTTAAGTTACACAATACAAAACAAATGAACAGAAACATCAACGAAGGGCCGATAGACTGCTCAACAGCAGGCGTCGCTAGAGGGGAACAATAGAGCAGCCCCAGCAACTCCTCTCGTTCAATTCCGCCCTCACATGTATGTACAAGTTAAGACCAAATAGATCGCTTGCAAAGGATATCCTTTAAAGCACACCACAATGCAACCTTCCTAGCCGCCAACCATGAGCTCCGCATACTTTCCACCCTGTAGCAAGCTCTCTCTGCACTGGAGCTTCTGCGTAGGGGTGGTGGGAGTCCTGCCTCTTGTAGGAGGACTCTTGTGCGCTGCATTTGATCCAAAATACTAAAGTTCAGAGCCCCTTAAAATCAACTAAAACCTCCCCATTTCGGCCAACGGTTGCCGTGAGCTCAGCGGTCATCTCTCCTGGAGGTGAGGGATCAAAGATGGCCTGGTGAGGTTCAACGCACTTTCTTTCTCTAGTGACTCCAGCCGGTGCTACGGAAGTGTACAACATGCAAGTAGACGCCAGCATCATTGGCTGTACTTGCAGCACTGTGGACAGCTGTCGAGAGCTCGCACGTACTGTTTGTCTACCAGGGCCAAGTAGGGGGCCGGGCCCACTTTAGAAGGACTTGCACATACTAACCTAGATTCTACTTGCAATCAAGCGGCCTTATGGGGGCAAGTATTGGTGCAGCAGCTGGTTACACCGTTAGTCCATGCAGCAGAGGGGGCCTAACTGTGCATACGTGTGGGGTTGCCCTGCAGCACCAAGGTGTTTTGCAACCGATCTCAAGTGGAACCTGAATAGTAGTCCCTTATCCTATTCAAGATCCGCCACAAGCTGCGGTTAGGACGGCAAAATTATGATAAGGGATCCTCAAGAGCAGATAAAAACCGCCTCCTCAGTCCCTTATGTCCTGGGGACAGCGCTCCACAGGCCTGGAACTGTGTAAGAGCAGGCAGCCTGCAATGAGCTGCAGGGCAGCCAGCTACAACTCCTGCTGCACGATAACAGCACTTGTAAGCACAATCAGACGCTCTTAGCTGTATGCAGTGAAAGTGTAGACAACTTCGGAATACTTCAGCTTTCTTCCCGGTTGTCTACTTAGACCGTGCAGGGCTTCACGTGGGCAGGAAAACCATCTAGGATATTCCACCGGTGACACATTACTGAGCTAATAAGTGATCAAACCTATCCAGGGCTTCGTAGCATCCTTTCAAAGTGGTTTTATTGAACTTGCCGCCGATGCAGGCTCGCGTGCAGGTGAGCCACGCTTCGTCTATTTTCTTCTCCGTATCTTGCTAATGCCCAAACGCCCTATTTGAGTTAACCTTTGCATTTTTCTTCTATTTTGCCAATGTACCGCGGGGCACCTCTGCGACGGAACAAGGGTTGCGGCCTCGCCGGGAATACGCCGATTCAGCAACTGGGTGCGCAGCACAGCAGTTCCGTCGTAAGTTCCTTGCTATACAACACATCTGAGAACACCTACTTCAAGCGGTGTACCCACTTCTCTTATTCTACAACAGAACTGGGCACATCGCTTGTAAGTAGCGCACCCACTGCTGGTGTTCCTTGGGTGTCAGCTGGAACAGGTATGCCAAAATTGCCGCATTTCTAAGAGCATTTAACTGCGTGCATGCCTACATCTGTAGTTTCCAACAGCTCCTCAGCCTTTTGCTTGATCGTCTGCGCTGTGTGTGGTGCACTGGTACAAAGTAGAACTCGGGTGAGATGGTAATGCGCCCCTGCCTGAGTTGAGCGTGCACTTCACATGCATAGCTTTATCAGCTATCGAAACCCTTTTCCGTGGGGGGACACGTAGTCGGTTAGACCACGTAAACGAAAGCAGAGGTAGACTGCTCCGCCTCGCCGTTGCTCCAGATATTCGCTGCACAAACTAGCAGCGTTTGAGCCCACAAGTGATTTGAAGTGGATCTGCATGCGTGGAGTTAACGTTCTTTGTCCTCACTGCCCCGCAATCCGCGGGAATCACAGAGTTCGCTGATTGCCTTGCTGGAGATGTCTCAGGTTCGCAACCTCGTGTCGCTCTGATTACTTCGTTTCCCCGTGCACTCTCTAGCTCGAATGACATGGTAATGTCCGAAGAAAAAGGTGCAAATGCTCGGTAAAGCTGACCGTCTTTCTGAGAGCCGGATCAGCTAGCTATCATACGTAATCACTTCGGTTCTTTTCCGGATAGGAGCCGGCATTTACAGCCTGTAGTGAACGTCTCTGTACGTTGCCAGCCCTATACATATCTGCTCATGAGCACTACTGCTATGTATAAGCCCCACTAACGAATTACCCTCAAAATGTATTCGAAACTGTAACACTTCCATCTATATCCTAAGTCCTATTCCCCCTAAAACTGGACAGGCAGCAGCAGCAACTACGGGTTCAACAACAGTACAGCAGCAGCAACAACGCGGCCCCACCAGCGATGCATCAAGTGCAGGAGACAGATCCGCAGTCCAGACGGTAAGCGAGAACGTGCAGCAGCCAAAAAACTACAGAATGCTGCAGAAACTGCAACTTCAGCAGCAGCTGCTGCTGCTCCGTGTTCAACACGAGTGTCAGAGCAACCGGAGTGCATAGAAGAGGTACACACGGAGAAATCAAAAACAAAACAGAAAGAAATACAGCAACAATGACTATAACACGTCAGAGGTAGTGGAGCCCCCCTTCGCACCCTCCTGTTGCTGCTGCTGTGGTTGGGGCGGGTCGACCGCGCTGGCAGTGGTTTCTGCGCATGGCCCTGTGTGGGTTCGCTGCAACTCCTTGAGGTGTTGAGACACCGCATGGTGCACCTTGCGCCGCCGCCGCCTCTTGAGCGCCTCCATCCACCTACAACAGCAGGAACAACACAGGAAGCATAAGGAAGCGCCCTAAGCCCTAGAATCTCGAAGCCCTAACCCCTAAGCCCTAGCTCGCCCCTTAAACCCAATAAAGAGAGAAACCGTCGCAAGACAGATAGACACTGTGAAGAACGGAAGCAGCACAAGAGACAAATTGAGAAAGAAGAAGAGAAGGAAGAAGAGGCACAACAAGGAAGAGAAGGGGGAAACAATAAGCAGGCCTTCAGGTTCCCAATGAGACAAAAGAAGAAAAGGAGAAAGTATGGAGGAAAGGAGCTTAGAACGAGCTTGTACAGAGAGCAAGAAGTAAAGAGACAACACAACAGCAAAGATACGACAGAGAAGGAAGGGAGAAATACAACACTGTTAGCACTGTTTAGCAACAAGTAAACTGAATTTAAAATTAAACAATGCTTAGAATAATAACATACAGCTGCCGCTGCTCTGTCTGTACACTGAAGAGGACACAATCGCCGAGGCCCTCCAGCTGCACCCATGAGCAGTCCCCATCATCGTAGGCTATAAGATAACGGTCAGCCCAGTGCAAGCTCCTGCTGTTGCTGCTGCTGCTGCAGAAGACAATGAGCCCTCCATACCAAACAGCCATGTACGGTGAGTACAGGGCGACACGGCGCCCGATTGCTGCGACGCCCTGCACCAAGCGACAGCAGCAGCAACGGCAGCAGCAGCGGATGGCAAACAGAGAAAAGGAGACCGTGAGGAGACACAACAAAGAGGAGCAAACGACATAAACAGCAACATAGGCACTAAAACTCCAATAACCAAAGCAATCCAATGACCTGAACAAACAGTGCTCTCTGTTACTGCAGCCTGCTGCTGCTGCCTGCTGCAGGTATGTGCCTGCTGCAGGTATCCCTTGCTGCTACGAGCTCTTCTCAAGATATCACCCCAGCTCTCTGTCTCCTCTTGCTCCTATTTCTGTCTGTCTACTCTTCTGTCTCCTTACTCTTCTTATGCTGCCTCTCCATTCAGGCGGCAGTGAGGCCTTCTCAGCAACCGCAGCACCAGACCATTTGTTGTTGCTCGGGTGTAGCAGCCGCTGCAGCACCGACGCTCCGGCAGCGCATGCACCGGAATGTGCGGCCCGAGCTGCTGCTGCTGCTTCTGCTGCTATTGCAGCCTCGCGGAGAGCGGCAACGATAAAGCCCGTCCACAACTGCAGCTGCTGGGTCGCCAGGTCTAGTGCAGCAGCAGCAGCTGTTGCTGTTGCTGCTGCTGAAGATGACGTATCTGCTGGATGCACCAGCTGTGGTGTCTGTGCTGCAGCTGAAGTATTAGCGGGGTCGACGCCCCCACAACCATTGCTGATACTGTTTGCGTTGCTGCTGTTGTTGCTGTTGCTGCTTTTGCTGACTGCCGCGACGAAAGAGCACCAGCAGGTGTACCTGCAGCTTGCAGCAGCATCAACCAGCGCCTCCAGCAGCACTTCATTGGTCGGGTCCCTCAAAAGAGGAGACAGCAGAGGATGAAGATGAGACAGCTCCAAGACGTAGCTGCTGTCATTGCCTAGTGGCAATACTGCTGCTGTTGTTGTTGCTGCTGTTGCTGACGATCGAGGTGCTGCCGCCGCCGCCCTCGCCCGAAATGACGATGCTGCGTCCCTCTGTACAGGTGGCTGTGGCGTACCAGAACCGTCCCCATGCAGAGATTCCTGCTTTTCTTGCTGCTGCTGCTGCACCAAGAAGAGCCGCAGTTGCTGCAGAGCCTTCAGGGCTGCTGCACCAACGAGATACCTCCTGACGGCTTCAGGACAGGCACAAACAGGGTCCTGATCTGCTGCTGCCGCGTCTGCTGCAGCAGAAGCTGCTGCTGCTGTCGATATCGGGCTGTCAGATACCTGCTTCCAGCAGCTGCAAAGCAATCCGTGCTGCTGCTGACCCTGCTCCTCTGCAGCAGCAGCAGCCTGGTGCGGGTTTGGCACCGGAAGCATGTCGGTCTCCTCGGCAGCCTCGTTTGTTGCTGCAGTTGCTGTTCCTGCCGCCGCTCCAGCTGTGGGGAGGCCACTGACAAAAAGAGACAAATACTTTTCCTTAACTGAACTGTCATCAGCAGCATCGTCGATAAAGAGACCCTCAGCAACTCCAAAGTCATCTTCTCCCCCGACGTAGTTGCTGCTACAGCTCTCACTGCCACTGCTGCTGTTGCTGCTCAGCGACGCCGGAATCCTTCCCTCACTCTCTGAAGCAGCAACAGTGGCTTTTGATGCTTCTGTTACTGCTGCTGCCCCTTTTGCTTCTCCTGCCGCTCCCGAGCTCTTGTCAGTACCCGCAGCAGCTGGGGGAACATCAGCAAGGATCGCCTCCCATGTTTTTTGCTCCGCCGCTGCCAGCGCCATGGCCTCCCTTCGAGCTGCAGCAGTCCCCGAGGCAAGAAGATGCAGCAACTTCGCCTTCAGCGCCCCTCCACCTTGTTGCTGCTGCTTCCGTTGCTGCAGCTGCTGCTGCACCAGCTGCTGCAGCTGCTGTTCGGAAAGGTTGGTACACCGGAAGCCTGTTTCGCCAGGCTTGGCAGTAGTCTCGCTGCTGCTGCTCCGTGCCCCTCCATCTACAAGCATAGGTTCCATCGGTTCCTGCTGCTGCTGCCGCTGTGTGGTCGTTCGCTGTTGCGAGGGGTTGCCGAGGCCGTCAGATGGGTGGATTGGATACGCAGAAGCAAGACTCTTCCGTTGCTGCTGTATGTACAGGCGCTTGCTGCTCTCCCGTTCAGATACAGCTCCAACCAGCATGCGGGACTGCAAAAGCAACACACCAGGAGAAGCGGCCGCAGCGGCAACAGCATCCCATGAAGTGCACAGATGCCTCAATGAAAACAAAAATTACTATTGAGCCCACGCATTAAAATGCCGCTGCCCCGGATGATGATTGTGTGTACAACTGTTACTGTGTTGCTATTACTTCTGCTGTTGCTTCTGTCGTTGCTGCTGCTGCTATGCAGAAACTTACGAGTTCCAAAAAGGAGCGAAGACGGAGCAGCAGCCGGACACTGTGGGAGATTTGGTTGCGCGTCTGCGAGTGCTGCAGCAGCAACATCACAGATGGAACAGCAGCACGTAACAGCAGAAGCAGCAAAGCGCAACAGCAGCAAGCCGCAGAAGCACATTACTACTGGAATGGGCATCCAATGTGTCCAAAGGGTTTTGCTAAACCCTAAACACTGACTCCTAATCCCTAGAACATCCATGGTCTCAACCATTGACAATCTGGGGAGCAACCGTTACCGAATCCCTAAACTCTAGACCCTAAGACCTAAACCCTTGCTCTACTTGCCTCTAGACAGAATGCGGAGGCGGTGAAGGCCGTGGGGCTTAAAGGAGCCTCTGCCATCTCCATGAAGCAGCCACGCAGCAAGGCACAGAGAGCATGGAACTGCAGCAGACACTTCGAGGCGCAGCAGCGCAGCAGCAAGCCCCAAGAGAGCCCGCAAATGGAACAGACACCAGCAACGCCTGCAGAACCAACGGAGAGCTCTTGTGGTTGCTGCTCCTTTTGAGGCTGCTGGACTAGTGGTTGCTCCTGCTGCTGCTGCGGCGGCGCAGACGATGGCTGCAACCCAGCTTCCGACGCGGCAGCCCCCGTGGCAGTCGGCTGCTGCTGCTGCTGTGTCTGCGCTTCCTGCTGCTTCTGTTGTTTCTTTGGCGTCTCCCCGTCCTCTCGGGTGATGCTGCTGCTGCTGCTTGTGCTCGGGCATGCGGTCTGCTGCAGCTGCCGCTGCAGCGCAGCATCCACTCCAACGATGGGAGATAGGCTGTCTGTCTCTGCAGCTTCTACTCCCGGCGTCCACAGTGCGCAGAGCATGTGTACGAACTGAAGGGGTGTCTCCTTACTGCAGCTGACAGCAGCAGCAATGGCAGCAGCAGCGGCAGCAGCAGGAGTCGCAGAAAGGTTATCTAGCGTTAACCCCGACGAGGCAGGCAGCCAGAGCTTGAGTGCACCGCCTCGACGCGGGCAAATAGCGCAATGTACCTGCGAAGCAGACCGAGAAAACGAATAAAACAAGACGAGCAATTAGAAACAGCAGCAGCAGCAGCAGGAGTAACAGCAGCAGCAGGAGGCAGTCAAAGATGCTACAGTAAACGAATACAAACAAAAATGGGGCAAATATTGGTTATACTGTATAGAGTCGAAAGAAAGGAGAAAAATTAAAAGAAAACTACCAAAAAAAAGGATAGAAATGCAAGGAAATAAAGAAAAGTCAAAAATAGAAAGAAAAAATGGGGAAGAAAACAAGAAACCAGAAGGGGGAAAATAACAATAGCAGTAACAATAACAGTAGCAATAACATCATAAACAACAATAACAACAGCAATAGCAGTAAAAGTAACAATGGCCGTAACAATATTGATGGCAGCAAAGCAACAGGAGGATAAGAATAAAGCAAAGTAAACAAGAACAAAAGGGAAAGAAGAAAAGGTAAATAACGGTAAAACCTCCGCTTACTTCCTCTCTGTTCGGCGCGTAGCGGCAAGGCTCACAGAGGAAAGGAACTGGCACATACGGCTCGTTGCTGCGGCTGCTGCCGGTGTCTGCTGTTGTTGATGCTCCTGCTACTTCCGAATGAAGGCGCTTCGTCCCTCTTAGGATGGCAGCTGGCGTCGCTGGAGTGCTGCTGCTGCTGCTGCTGCTGCTTGCGCTGCCACTGCTGGTGCCGTCCTGCCCTTCAGACGAAGAACCTGCTGTCTTGGCACTGCTGCTGCTACTGTTATTACCATTGTCCTGCATCCCGGTGGTCTGTTTCAGCCGTTTCAACGAGCTGCCACACGTATCATGCTGCTGCTGCAGCTGCAGATCTGGGCGCAGCGCAGCAGGGAGACATTCAAGAGGCACTCCGTAGCACAGGCGGTGTACAGTTAGCCCACACCTGGCGCAATAGAAGAAGGGGTTGGTGCTGCTTGCTGTTGCTCTAGGCAGCAAACAAACGGCGCAGCAATGGTCCTGGTAGAAATCAATCTCCTCAAGGACCGTTCGCTCTACGCTCTCCTCTGCCGCTGGTGCTGCTGCTGCTGCTGCTGCTGCTGTCCCCGGGGTCTCTCCTCCGGCCTTCGCCCCTGATGCAGACGCTGCTGGTGCTGCTGCTGGTGTTGCTGCTGTTGCTGAACCCTCGGCACCTGCGCCTCTGCCCCCTGCTGCCGTCAGAGTGTGTGCTCCCTGGGCTGCAGTGGCAGGCGTGTTCGCTGCAAGCGCACCTCCACCAGCATGCGGGGTAGCTGCAGCTGCAGCTGCTGCCGCCGCTGCTGATCGCCGGGTTGAAGTGACCGAAGAAGCAGCAGCAGAACCAGGCGTTGGGGTGGCTGCGTGTGTTGCTGTGTTCCCCTTGGAGGGGGTTCCGAATGCATTGCTGCTGCTGCCAGGCAGCCCCGCAGTAGCAGCCGCAGCTGCCGCTGCCGCGGCAGCAGCAGCTGCTGTGCTGCGGCGGGCTGCAGCTGCTGCTGCAGGCAAGGCCCGCTTAAGAAAGAAGGCCCCCTTTCGCTCACTTAAAGCATACAGCTCAGGGAAGTGATCTCTTGTTATGTAACGACGGGACCGCAACACAGCTTGCAGGGCGCAGCTTCTCCTGTCAAGGCAACAACACGCACAAACCATAAACCCTCTAGACCCTAAACAAATCCTGCAGAACACATATGAAACGTCCCAAACAGCCACAAGGAGCAACAAACCCCAAGAGAGAATACAGCAAGGAAGGAAGCAAGAGGATTCACATGCAGAAAGAGACACCGGATATACTGGCCAATACCAAAATGAGGTACACCAAGGTCCCAGTCTTAGTGTTAACTTAACAGTTTATTAGGGCTTATTATTGAGTTGCATTCGCGTTTATTACTGAGCTGTATTAGGGTTCGCTATACTAGGGGTTACGATTGAGCAGTACTAAGGTTTATGTTTGGGGTGTATTAGGGTTAATTGCAGAGGTGCACAATGTATTGTACATGGGTGCGTTTTTAAAGGTTTGCTGCAAGCGTGGAGGAGGATTAACAAAAATATTCTAAAGGTGAATCATGAGGGTTTGGTGTTGATAATGGGTGTAAGTTGAGACAGTTAAATGAGGGTTTAGCGTTCGGGGGAGGGGTGGGTGTTGGTTGTAAATCCCAAGGATCCGACGGGGGAGTATTAGGGTTTAGCGCTAGTACAGGGAGATATGTCCACAGAAGGCACGCTTCTTCTACTTGCACGCAAACACATTTATATGTGTAGTAAAGATGTATTCTTTTCTCCTGCGTTGTTCTTCTAGAAGGGCTGCTGCTGCTGTACCTTGCTGCTGGTTGTTCTGGAGTGTGTTTGTAGCAGAAGAGGGAAAGCTGCAGTCGAGGGAAGCAATGATCTGGGGATCCTCTAATGGGGAGGAAGAGGCCTTGTGCTGAGGAGGCTGAGCCGAAGAGTCCCCCAAGCCAGCCGCACAAAGGATGGAAGGTGTCTGTACACCCCAGAGCGCAGCAGCGCATGCAAGCCCCCCCCTCGACGCCACACAAACTGCAGCGGGAAGCCAGTCTCCATGGAGACAACCCTCCTAAGTCCCAAGGCTCCAACTTCTGCAAATCTTTGCATGTAACCTCAGGCATCAGAAACAGACAACAAAATATATGTACCCAATTGCCGCTAGACACTGCAGGTTTTAATGCCCCTCCCCCGCGGAGGCATATCTGCGCCACACAGCATACAGCACACACCCCCATAAAGACATACGCCAATTTACCGCTAGCAGATACTATAATAATGCCTAGAAGCAATTATTTAAACTAAATAAACAAACAAGCGCACACACACACACACACTATATATATATATATTATATATAT